CTAACTCAGCAGCAGGCGGTTTGCCTCACAGATCAACCTGCTGTGGAATCCTCCCACATCTGGTACACATCACTACATGATCGTTGTGGGGTGTGACAGCTTTACCAAAACAGTTTGAATGTCACATTATGCCCTCAAAGAAGTCTCACCCATAAGAAGGGAAAAAAACATGTCTCCCTTCATTTCGAGCTGTTCCCTTAAATCCTTCTGATATATCTACTGTTTTTTTAGTTGTTTTCTTACGATATCATTTTGTGAAATCTGACCATTTTAGTCCTGCTGCTAAACATAGTTAGGTCTGTAATGTATTTGAAATGTGTCATTATTTTGTTTATCTGTAATAAGAAAACTCTCAGCTGGGCTCTGAACACTTTTTGAAGGTGGTTTTGTTGTAACTCCGTTGAACAGAGATCATATTGACTCATTTAACAGGATGTGAAGGTGATAATAATAATAGCTTAGTGTGATTAATGTCTGTAATTCTTGGCAATCTATTAGCTAAAACTATGTTAAAATAAATCTCATCGTATGTTGGGGAATATTAAGATATCCAAGTAGTTTTAAGTGCCTGTCTGGGTCTCATTTTAACTTCAAGGTTCGTTTTTAATCAGCTCTCCTGATGAGCCAAAGACCTGGGGAAATGTTGCAATAGTCAGCAAACGTTCAGTTGATGCATGTTTCACCAACGTTCTTAAAGTAGCCGTTTCATATTATGCACTGACTTTCATATTAGTACACAGTTTGTTTTACTGCGTCCGTGGTAAAAGGAATCGTTCACCTGAACTTCGGTGTGTGTGGTTTGTTAACAAATGCATGAATGTGTCCTGCTTTGTGATTTTCACAGGTTTTGTGATGTTCAGTCTTTGTTATTTTGAGGTGTGGGGCGATGCAATGAGACTGTAATGTGGTTTTAACAGTGCTGGATATTTTGGGTTTCATTATTTTAATTTATTTTTTCGTCTTGACATGTTTAAAAGCAATAAGCATTGGGTGTGGGTAAAGCCATGAGCTGACATTTTCAGAAAAGTTGATGAACAGGCAGAATGTTCCTCATTACTTATGAGCCAGGGACTGCCGCACTAACATTTGTCAGAACCTCAGTGATGTCTGCGCAGGTTAACGCCGGATGTTCCCACCTCACACTGATCAGGGTGCAACAGAGAGGCTTGACTTCATTTAATTTGAATTAGAGGCAGCAGGAAACTGGATCTTCGCTGTTTCTCACCTCCCCCCACACAGCTCTCCGTTTGGATGTGTGATTGTTAAACCTTCTTCTTTTGGTTTCTTCACAGCATTTATGAGCTTGTTTTTGTTTTATTCTGACCTCAAAGACTGGAACATTCGTGTTTTTTGATTATCCGGCCCATCTCTTTGACATTTATAGATCTGATGACAAGTCGCCTCTTCATTATGTTGCAAATATATGTACTCCTATTTGAATAAATTACATTACAACAATGTTTGTATTGAGACCATTTTTTTTTTGTTCTTTTTAAGACACGCTCGCTGCATCTGAATCTATAACATCCCTATCCTAAATTCCTGCTATAATTATTTTCAGAAAAAGGCTTTTTTTGTTATCAATAGTGATAATTAATTGTATCCATATATCTCAAAGATGGACAAAGACAAAATGTCAGATAGTCATGCAGAATTACAGTCAATCAAAGAAATTCGGAGCACAAAGGTCTTGCGTTGTCTTGCTGAAATGGAAATCTTTCTCGGAAAGACATGTTTGATTTGCAGGTCCATGGACACTAATACACCATCACACACATGGCTTTTAAATGAGAGTTTACCACAAGCTGGATGCTCTCTCGTCTTTAGTTTGGAGAACAGGGCGTCCATTATTTTTTGGAAGAGTTTTAACCTGTGAGAGTATTAACCCATTCTTTATCCAAGCGCTCCTGAGCCCACAAAGTGATTTCTTATATTTATTTCTTATTTTTAGTTTAGTTTTTTTGTTTTCATGAAGTGCCAGCTGAAGGATTGATTATGGTCCACTACCTTATACAAACTATTGCATTCTGTTTTCTTAATTTCTTTTCGCTTAAATTTCACTGACACAGCATTCTGGAGTCCAGTACAAAAACCACTGAAAAAATGGGAATCAATTCTTGGCAGTCGATTCGTGGATTTTTAGTTCAGACACCTTTAGAAGCTATTGCAATTGGCATCTCCCACCAAGCATGCATTCAGGAATTATGTCATAGTGCTCAGTTGTCTCAGTTGTTTCTTGGTATTGTGCTGATTAGCTCAGAACAGAAGCTGCCATTGTTCGGTGCAGCAGGCTTTACCAGCTCCCCTGAAAGGCCAGTAGATGTCAGTAGTAGTCATCTGCTGCAGACAAATTACAATCATCCAGTATTTGCTAAGAGTTAGTTTTTGAAAATTCTAAAATCTTTTCTTTTTTAACACATGGAAAGTTGTTATTGTGAGAATCAGACACGATAAGAGCTGTTTAACATTCATATGTTATAGGAATAAAGCTGTCTGCAGACTGAACCGAAGTGACAATGAATACCACATCTCTGGATATCATGTCCCAAAGAAAACATGTAAATATACAAAAACCACCTGATGATTATAGATATGACGTCACCATTTCTGCTCATGACTATAGCCTGCGATTATGAGTTCATGTTTTAAGAAGTGAGACGATTTTTTTGCATATGTTTTATGTTGTTGTTTATTTTCTTCTTTAATGTTCTTATAATGTGCATAAAGTATAAACAGGAAGGAGGTCTGTCACCATTAGAAACAGTTCTGGTACTACAGGTGCTGAGTCTTTGTTAAGGCACTGTAAGAAAGAATGAACTGGCGAAAGCCAACAGCACATCCATGAAACACCATATTCTGTTTTATGGTTTCCATCTGTATGCCTGCTGTGTAAAAAAAAAAAAACAATCATTAATTTTTGTCTATTGCCATCCTTCAATGCTCTGTTACAGCATTAGTAACGAAGGCTTGACAACTAGGTGATGGTGTATCTGTAAAAGTATGATATCGTCATTTGGAGCTTCTTGCCTGTTCTGACAATAACAAAATATTTGACAATAAAGTAAATGTCAAATAAAAAGGTCCTTCGTAGTTTCAAATAGTCAAAACCATTTAAGAACACAGACACAAGTTCAGCTGTCTTCCATCAAATGGCCCGTGTCCAGAAAAGTTTTAATGTGTCCATGAGGCGTGGTTAATGTGTGCATGATCCGTGAACATAATCTATGTGTCTTGTCTCAAATGTTTATATGCCTTTAACATGCTCTGACCCACACAAGCACACACACATTGTATTATCCCAACTAATTGTCCACAGCCCTAACAAGGTCATGACATCGCGGCATGATGGAGAGAATGAGATGGAGATGGTTCTTTGATTAATCACATTGACATTTGTGTGCATCATTATGGTTTAATGCACACTGATGAGTCACAGCACGTAAACCCTCACAGTCTGAGCTCAACCTTTTTTTTTCCATTTATAATTTCCCAGGTAACACGTCATGTTCTTATTGAAATCAAATGAACACATGAACTTGTCCGATATTTTTCAAATGATAGGATGTAAACCATAACCTGAACCAAAACCGGATTCAGCAAGCATGTGCAGTGCTTCCTGACACACACACACACCCCACTCTGCCAACTTAATATTTACCTAAACATAAAAGCATCAGCTATTAAAAGAAGGAGATCATATCTCATGTTCAGCGTGTGGTGGATTTAGTGAAGACTCTACAAGATATATTAAGTTTCTTTGAACCATCTTTTAGTTTACTTAATCTTTTTTGACTTCATGAAGATCAGATTTAATGTATACTATCTAAATGATAAAAGCCTCCAGTAGTTGGGGTTAGATGCGCTCTTAATCTGCAGTAATGGTTGGTCTGCTGGTCTAATTAGATAATGACCACCTGCTCTTTTTGTGATCTATGACATCTGGCTGAACAAAAGAAATGATTACCCCCCTGCTTTATAAACAACTATGCTTGGAACAGTTTCTTCTCAGATTTGTGGCTGTTTACCTGTCTAGGATTGGAGTTAGTGGCTTGGCGTTCACTGCTGCAGGTTTGCCAAGCCTGGCCTCGGATTAATGTGGCTCCCAGAATTTCTTATTGGCTCACTAATCGCGGGTCGCATGATCATTGTTAGATTTTAATCCACATGCGCCATCAATCTTGAAATGATCAGGATGACCCTGTGCATCGGACACGCCACGCTTTGGTGCCCCCTTCAAGATCCGCTCCTTCATCCCTTCTTTTCATTTGGGGAATTATGAATTTTCCAAGTCCATGAAAAGGCTGTCGAATCATTCCAAGTTTTTTCTCTTGAATATATAAAATGAGATAGTTTTGTTTAGTCTGACTGTAATTTCACAAAGGGACAGCTCTGTGTTTTTCTCCCTTGCTAATAACAAAGACATAATTGCATTTGTCAGACCTCAGCGAGCCACGTTCATGGCCTCCTCGTGGCAGGTGTCCCCGGAGTTCGTCCATCTCCAGCTCCTCAGCTGAACTTTCTGAACACAGAAGTATTGATTGGACTATTGATTTTCAAATCATCTGTCTTTGGCGAAAGTAGAAATCCAATTACGAGTTGAACTGAAAACAGTTAATCCAATCAAGACGATGAAATGTATCGATTTCAACCGCAAAATCAATAAGATGCACTTTGCTCTCATGAGTGGACTCGGCCTTCGGGGTTTTGCTTTTTCCAAAAGAATGAAGCATCCTTGGCCTCCTCTAAACAATGTGCAAGAATGTTTATAGTAATCAGCTTTTCAACAATTTAGTTTTATTCTGTTTGAAGCAAACAAATTCAAATGACTTTACAAAAGGCTTAAGATAAGCTGTCCAAAGTCAGGCAACATGAGGTCTGCCATTGTGAAGTATGGTGAAAAGTTATTCTTTTCTCCAGCGAATGATATTGCTTTACCATTCCTTTTGTTAAGTAAATTAGTTTTACTCTCTTCCCCTTCATATCTCACCTGTGTGTACATGTGGGTCCTCATGGTTACCACCAACGATCAGCCGTTGTGTGGGATTTAAAACTAAATGATAAAGTCCAGATGAACCTGAAACACATATGACAGCAGTGAGACAGCCTGAAGACAAGCAGATTAGGTTTTTTTCTTCATGTAAATACACAATTGTTGTTGTGCATCCTCTATTTATTCTAAGTAGTACAAAGTTACTGTTGCTAGGTCCACCCACCGTCTCCGTGGGGAAATCCAGCTGCCACCAAGTGGCCTCAGTGCAGAGGATTGGAATGTAACAGGAGAGAAAAGGTCTTTTCAGCTGGCCCTCTGATAACATTTACATGGACATGCAGAGTTCCTTAATTTATGGTTCCAAAACAGTTGGATTAAATACAACCCAGAGTATGACATCAGGACTCTTTGTTGGATAAAAGCAGAGGCACTTCCAGAGGTGGGCAATTTTTCGAAATGTCATTTTTAGAAAGAATCCACAGAATGCATATATGCATGTGTGCATAAAAATTCTTAATATTTAGGAAAATAACTATGATAAATGCTGCTTTCCCTGTTGGACCTCTATTGCAAATTAAATATAAATGATCATATCTTTGAAATACAATAAAGTTTCAAAATTGAGAAAAGAATAATACAGGCTAAATAAAATGTTTTTTTGCTGACATGGTTGAATTATTTTTTCTTTTCTTTTTTAAACTGATGCTCCTAGCTTGATGTAGTGTTCTTTTTGCCCAAGAGTCCTTGAAATTCAACTGATGGAAATGTTTAAAAAATCTGATTTGTTTGAATGTTGCATTTCTTCCTCTTGGTACAATTAGTGTAAGGAATGGTTAGAGGAGACAGAAAGGGGAGGAGGTGAACGTGGGAGGGGGGGTGGGGGGGGGGGGGGGGGGGGGGGGGGGGGGGGGGGGATGGGTGAGGGGTTACAGGGTCAGGCTACTTGTAATTACCACAGTCAGGTTCAAGTCACTGGTCAAGCTGCTGCTGATTTTGAATATTTTCCCATAATGCAACATTGTCGAGGACTGGCCTACATGTGGCACAGCATGCCTCTACTGATGCCTCTTTGATTAGCTGTCTTGTCTTCCACTGGGCTGCGTATGATCAGCGCGCGGAGCACAGGGATGGCTGCTAAACTGACAGAGAGGTCCATCAAATGGCAGCTTTGTTATGACATATCAGCCAGGACGTGGTGGATGGTAAGTGGAGCTCTTTGTCCTGTCCTCTTCATGTGAAATAACGTCTGGCCGATCTAACTTCTCAGCATTACTGTTTGGGTCTTTTTTTTTTTCTATGAGACGCACTGATGTGATGAACGTTATTTAAAGACAATGCGTGGAATGGACTCACATTCTCTATTCAAAGAGCTATCTTTATAGAATATCCCACTAACTTACGTGTCTGAATGAATATCATGAACAAGGCCCGTGATTACATCTGAGTCTTTCATTTAATTTGTACGGAGAAAATTGTGGATTTTCAGTGTGAAAAGGGGCCACATAAATGTTATTTCTTCAACTCAGATAAATAGGGAAACAAAGCGTTAAGCCTGCTTTTAGCATAAGAGAGCTCCTCAAGTGCACTTCTCTGTTCACCCTCAGCAGTGTTAATTTAGTGTTGGACAAAGGGCCCTTGTCCAGCCCGCGCTTTTCCCATGCTTTCTGAATATTTATTTACTTGTCTGACTACAGATGAGCTTTCATTGTGTCCCATCTCCAGGGTTATGGTTCGTTTATCCTCCCTCGATGCTTAAACGCTGAAAGAAATCCCCCGTTCAGCACAGGTCCTGCAGCCTCTGCTGCTGTTTCCTGTTGCTTTAACACGACACGTTTTCAACCCTGTTAGACTGAATCACAAGTGAATTTTAGCAAGTGTTGATTTACAAATGAATTTGTCTCATCACGCAACAATTTCCCAGGTCACTGCAGCCCCATCGGAACCGAGAACAGGCCTGGAAAAAATACACCCTTTTTGAATATCATTGTCTTTGCACTGTAGTGTTCTAACACATGGAAGTGGGAAAGACTGTGTTTACTGAGGGCTCTGAGGAGGCTCTGTTTGTCAGAGCAGGACCACCTGAGCAGTGTTAGACTTTTCAGTGTTGTGCTGTCATTCACCTCTGCTGACATGTGTTTCTCCCATGTAATTGAAAAAATATTTTCATCAAGCTTATGTGCATTCACTTTTGGGCAGAGAGTAAAGAGCTAAAGACAGGTGGATGGGAATACAGTTTGGATACTTGGACTACGATAGGAGGAATCAGCCTCTGTACTTGCAGTGCACACTGCCAGAGGAGCTTTGGAGGCATCACAAAGATATCATCAGTTTCAGCTGTTTAAAGTTGTTAGTCTATTTGCATTCACTTAGCTCAAGAAGTAGCATTCACACTTATGGTTTAATGTCAGTAGATTAGTTTAGGAAGAGTCAAACTGTCCAAACAAGAAAAGAAAAGAAAGTCCAAAGTGGATCTTGATAAGATTATTCAGGATTAAAAAACTGGAATTGATAATAAGTCTTAAATACAATAATTAAAAAGAACCCAGCATGATGTTGTGTTTTATTTGACTAAAATTTCCAAGAACCCATTGAGAAAACTATTTTTTCAATTAGCTTTTTAAAAAGATATTCCCAAGTATCCAAACTGTACAAATAACAATGATCTAATTACACTCTGGCTGCACTTTACTGAAATTAGACAGATAATCAGACTCTCATTTTTTAAAAGTGAGGACCTTTAGCACTGTGTAACAGACGCTTGACCTATTTAGGTGAGGACACTAGCACCAGTGGAATGTCACACCACAAAGGAATGATAAAAAAAAGACATGGCTGCATTTGGTAGCTTTGAAGGGGAAAAAAGAAGAAAACTGGTTTAGAAAGTCACAGTGGGCAACAAATGAGGGCAGATAGGCTTCATATTTCTGAATTCCACTCCATCAACTACACACAGATGAGACTTTGATGTATAAAACAAAAATACAGTTGATGATTGGACGTGTCTATCTTGTCTGTGACCAGTCAGCATATATTTCAAGTGTTTGTTTAGTAAACAAAATTATATGGAGAAAAAAAAAATAAATATGTTTTACATTATTAAAAAAAGGATATATATCCTTGATGAACTGAATGTAGAATTAAAGGTCCAGTGCCCCGTTGGTCAACTGGCTGGACAGAGTGCTATGTGTGATGTCAACTGAAAACCAACAAATAAAAAAATCTACACCATGTGAAAAGACAAAAATCAAGACCCATGAATTTTCCAGTGGATGCGAAATGAGTGGCTTGTAGTTCGATTTATGGCAGCAGGGTGGCGATAGATCTGCACTGAGAGCTGGACTCTGGGACCTGAACACACACAGTGTGTGTATATTGCTTTTCTGGTTTTTGTACGTAATGATGATCAGCTTCATTTTAAAATTAAAAACAAACAAAAAAGAGGGGAAATTAATTCCAGTTTAAAGTGGGCAAAATGAGTGCAACTCTTTTTAGTATGCTGGATGTATTTATTTTTAATATTTTAGTGCTTTTAAAAGTAGATGCGTCTAAGACAGGGCTGATGAGTTCGGCCTGAATGGAAACAATAGTTTGCATTCGAGTCTAATGTAGTTTGACATGTTTATATGTCTATTTTATCATTCAATTTTAAAGATTTTTATTATAGCAAGACACAAGTGGTTGCAATTACATATAGTCACTGACTTTTCAAACCAATCCTACTTTCTGCTTTTGTTATGGCTAAGAAGACCAACATGTGGCAATGGGCATCAGAACATTTTTCACTGATTGAGAAGTAACACTTTCAAGAAAAGTAATGTAAGTTAAACATGCCGATAAGTAATAGTGTTATGGAACATTAGAGGATCAAATTGTTGTGACATGAGTCACTAACACTACCTCTAAAGATTGCTTAATATCAATTACATCTTTAATGGTAACCATTGGATTATTCACAAAATGACCATCATTAATTAGATTAAATAATGAGATCCTTTAAGTTACCTCTGAATGTGAGCCTGCATGTTTTCAGAACACACGGCTTATTACACTATGGACCATAATTAGCTAAATACTGGCAACTTCTTCTATCATGAAACAGTAATCAGAATATTATCTTCAAAAGAATGATATTGTTGTAGTGTGGTGCTTTCCACGAACGCTCACTGACCGCATCGCTATTCAGCCTGACTGTCAAAGCCCGGGCAGCGCGTCAGAGGAGCGGAAGTGAGGGGCCCAGGTCCAGAGTCCCGGGGCCACCGCTGCTGGCCAATGACAGACGAGAATGCAAACGCTATTACAAAACGGAGCTGTGTGAAGCTGCACACAATCCACCAGGACACACGCAGGAAATGGGAGCAGCTAGTTTCATAATAAAACTATTTTTAACACCGAAGTCGGTCCCATATTTGCCGTGTTTTGGTTTAAAGTGTGACAAGCACAAGACACTTCGGCCCTTACACCGTTAAAGCAACCTGAAGCAGATATCTGAACTGTTGTAGTTGTTTCATGAATGCGTTAGTACGTGTGAAGTGTCTGAAAGCTCACCAAAACCTGGCTGACAAATGTCGTTAGCGTGAAGCTAACTTCTCTCCATGGCAAGCTTCGACTTCTCTCTGTCCTTCACAAATAAAATGATTCTTTTCACCATTTGAACGGTTTTAAGGGTCATTGACCGGCGGCTTTGTTAGCTATTTCATGTATTTCAATATCTTTTTAAGAAGGATTAATATCATTTTTGAAAAGCTGTACCGGAAGTCGTCCTGTTGGGCTCTCGTGCTCTCTGATGGTTGTCGCAGAGAGCTGGAGGGCGGCAGTCAGTCAGACAGTGAAAGTGAAGGCGGAGACCAACCCAGTGCCGAAAACTCAGCCTCTTCTGGATCACGTTCAACTCCGCTGAACGACCCCAGAAAGCGTTTCAAAAAAGTGAGACTTGAAGAGGAAGGAAGACAAAAAAAAAAAAAAAAAACGCGAGGTGCTCCTAACTTCTTCGCCGCTATTTGCCAAGAATTGTCTTCCGGTGTTGACTTTTTTTTGGTTACTTTTTTTTTTTTTTGGCGACCACTGCAAGAGAAAATCCTCCAAAGCACAAAGTTGAGCGTGAGAAATGTGAAGCTACCGGCTTGTCTCTTTCAACCAGTCTCCAGGATCCCCTTTTAATCCATGCAGTACAGTGCAATGGTACGTGAACATGGATTGTTATGGCTTTCAAATGTTGTGATAACGCTCTTTGTGGTAGCTTTTTTTTGTGATTCTGTCCTGTCCTTGTGGCGGCGGTGAAATGTGGAAAAGTGGGAGCACAGCGCTGACGCGTTTGGGCCAGAAATGGCTCTGAACTTGGCGCAGATCGCCCGGGAGCCCGTGTTAACATCCCATTCCCCCTAATCTGGCAAATGAACTTAGTGTGGACTGTTGACAGCTCTGTAGGACACACACACACACACACACACATGCACAGGACACAGGCGCGTGTGCACGCTGTGAGCCTGCAAAGTAACAATGTTAACTTTTGGTGTGCTACAAAACACTACCCTAAATCACAATATTTACTAAAAAAAACACACACACCCTTGCATCGACTCAGAAACAGATACAAGAAATCCCTCCATGAAAAAGATGCAGTTTAGGTGTGATTTACCTGTTCTTTATTAGGCAGGGCAGGCTCATTATGTGGGAAACCGTACATGTGATTATTCAGAGAATTCCCAATTTGTGTCAGGGAAGGTTTCACCCATGGCTTTGAATGCCTCAAACATGCCCAAGTCATTTTGACACGAATCATCCTGATCCTGGTTATTTAAGCCATTTCTTTACACGAGGGGCTCCCACTGTCCATTTCATACGAGGATAAACAAAGTAATTGATGAGTGCTAAAGAAACAAAACTAAACTAAAAGTTTAGTTTTTTTTTGGCCACTGTCACCCACGACCCACGTGTTGCATGACCTGAACTGTAAAATAAGCGAGTGTGTGTTATTGACACGAATGTGTCCCCGTTTTACCAGCTATGACTGCGGTCCAAAGTTAAAATAATTCCTCTGAAGTGAGGGGGGACTAGGTGGCCTGCGAGGGTGGGTTTCCAGGGGGGAGAGGGGGGGGGGGGGGGGGGGGGGGGGGGGGAGAGGGCTGGGTGGATGGGGGAGTGGGGTGAACATGAGTGGTGTGTTTGGAAGAGGAGGAGGAGTGTGACTGTGTAATTACGTGAGTGAAAAAAAAAAAAAAAAGGGGAGAAAAAGTTGGGTCTGATTTGCTGGAATCGCGCAGGAGCGGAAAGGTGCCGCGCTCGGGTTTTCAGAGGAAAGTTGGGCTGCAGACGGGGGCGAGCATCACACACACCGGGCGCCCCGAGAAGCTCCCCCTGACGCCTTCTTTATGAGATCCCGCCGCTCCCAGACGCGCGCAGAGCCCACGCAGTAGAGGAGGGAGCGGGCAGAACGCAGAGCTGCTCTCCGGCTGCACAGCCCCGGCCTCTGCCGTGCCAACTTAAAAACACACGCACACGCACAGAGAGAGAGAGAGAGAGAGAGAGAGAGAGAGAGACGCATCCTCTCACACCGGAGACGACAATCGTTGGATCGCAAGAATTTATGGATATTCTGGGATAACTCCTTTTTTGTTTGTTTTTTGTGGTTTGTTTGCCGCGGATAGCTGCCCCACACACACTCTTGCATGGTGCACGGCGGTCCGGGAATGGCGCGATGAAGTGATCAGAGGAAATCAGTCCCAGTACAATCACTTTGTGTAGCCGTGTCGTCATGTATTCGCCGATCTGTCTAACTCAGGTACTTGTGTCTTTTTTATATACATTTACTAGGTATTATTTGCTTTAAAAAAGAAAGAAAGAAAGAAACAGAAATGGTCGTGAAAGGGATCGCACGCGCTGGGGATACAAAGTTCTCCGCGCGCGCCGGGAATCTGCAGCTTTGGGTTCTGCGTGGGAAACGCTCCGATAGGGCAAAAGAAGCTGGGAAAAGAACCCGAAAGCAAACTTTAAGCGCTGCCAGTGTTCGATCCCAGCAATTATTAGAGTAGTTGGCGCTGGCAGTGTTGTTTTTATGCGTTCAGTGAGTGCGTAAAGCTGAGCGTAAAGATTTTACGGATAGCTTTGGAGGAGTCCTGATAAGCCTGTCTGGTCAGTGCAGGTATGTTGCCTTTTAATTGAGTTTTATGAAGGTTATTAGCGTCCTCCCGTAACCTCCAGCATTCTTCCCTATGTTTAAAAAAAATAAAATAAAATAAAAAAAAAAAAAAAATATATATATATATATATATATATATATATATATATATATACATACTCATCCCCCCTAAGCTGTATTTTTATTTAGAGTTAAACCCTTATACTTAGGGGAAGTGAGGTTGGAAGGAGATAAAGCCACTTTCACGATCAAACGAACGATAAGGTGGATTCAGTGGTTGGACAGAGTAGCTGACTGATTTGGCTGACTCAGTTTTACTGTTTATATTTTACTTGGCATAAGTAAGTGATTGACTGAGATGTGGTTTAGTTTGCGCTTAAGAGGATTGTGCTTTTATGGGCCCAGCTGAAGTGCACCGGTAGGCCCTGGCCAAGTCATTTATCTTTACAGCATTTGTTTGAAAAAGGCAGAGAGCGACAGAAACAACAGCAACAGCAATGAAAATATGAAAGGAATTAAGAGAAAAAATAACAGAATCTTTGAACTTATTCTGAACAGGACAACAGAAGCGAACAAGATTTTAGGAGGAGAAGCTGCCGAGCACATTTATCAAAATTTAGAGTTTGCTTTTGTCATTTTATTTGGCAGCTTTATGGTGAAGAGATTACATTAAAATAAGCCCTGCTTGTTATTTTATTACCTCAGCAAATGGATGGTTATACAAGTCATAGCCCGCATTTAAAATCCAGAATCCGCAGAGTTTGAAAAGTTTATTCACTTTGTGAAATAAACTATCAAAATGTCAGATTTCGATGCCTGGCCAGATTTTTTTTCTTTTCTTTCCCTCTTGTTTTGCAGCCGTGCAGTTCAGACCTGAATTGTGGCTTCTTAGAGGAGTACCAGCGGCAGGCACAGATAGGGAGTTGATTTCTGTGGTTTCCCATAGCCTGCTTAGCCTCACTGCCTTCAAAAAGAACAATGTGCGGTTTAACTCCTCAAAGCCCGCCTAAAAGGAGCTGCTTATGCTTATTAAATGTGACATTTTAATGACCCGAAAGACAGATAATGCAACATTTCCTCTTCACGCTCAGAGAAACAGTAGTTTGTGATGATTCCCAAATCATTCCGACCATCCTCTGCACACACAGAGAACAAACAAAACGAGTTTGTCCTCATTTTCTGAGGAATTCCTGAATTATTAGCCCGTAAAAAAAACCCTGAAGATTTCCTTTGATTTAAAAAAAATCTGACTAATAAAGAGTTGTGAAAAGTTTATGTTTTATAATTAATCAAATTACAGTAAATAAAAAGAGGGTAAAAGGGCACAGCAGCATATTTGGAATAGCAAATTTAAATAAATGTTCAAGAAAATTTCATAAGAGTAAAAAAATAATAATGGTGAAATAATTTATCTTGAAAAAGAGTTTACAAGACAACCTTTTTAATTAAGTGTGAGGTTTCAATTTTATGTCAAAACCTGAAATTTGTGTTGAATTAGTGCAGTAGTGTAGTATATTTTGAAATGTTCCATAGCGGTAAATACTTGTCTTATTTTACACTGTTGCTTTGCTTAAATTTCCTCCTTTTCTCCTCAGCTCGTGTTTTGTATTGCATTTGGAACCTTTTAGGCTTATGGGAATCTTTTTAACTTTCCATTTTGTGAACGTGTCCTACTTGGCCGTCCATCTTATACTCACTTTTTATAAAGATGGGATAAGTTGAGGGTGGAATGTGGGTAGTGTGATAAGCGGAGCGGTGCGGGGCGCATGCTCCCTGCAGCAGCAGCTGCACAGGAGTCCTGCTCACTGCGGGCTGGGCAAATAAAAGCAGAGCCGGGCCCGCGCTCAGCCGGCCTCATCCCATTGTTGTTGATGTAAACTGTCAAATCTCCTTCTAATACCAGGAGAAGGTCCTGAAAAGGTCTGAAAGAAATCTCTCGGCTCCCAGCCGGTGGCAGAAAAACCGGGCGGCTGAATTGTAACTCTGAATTGTTTTCTCCGTTTTCTGACGACATGAGTCCCTCATTCCGTTTCTCTCTGTCCTCTCCTCCCCGTGTCCCCTGGACGCTCCAGGATGAGTTCCATCCCTTCATCGAGGCACTTCTTCCTCACGTCCGTGCCATCGCCTACACGTGGTTCAACCTCCAGGCCAGAAAGCGCAAGTACTTCAAGAAGCACGAGAAGCGGATGTCCAAGGACGAGGAGCGCGCGGTGAAGGACGAGCTCCTGAGCGAGAAGCCCGAGGTGAAGCAGAAGTGGGCGTCCAGGCTGCTGGCCAAGCTGCGGAAGGACATTCGGCAGGAGTACCGGGAGGACTTTGTCCTGAGCGTGACGGGGAAGAAGCCCCCATGCTGCGTGCTGTCCAACCCCGACCAGAAAGGCAAGATCCGCCGGATCGACTGCTTGCGGCAGGCCGACAAGGTTTGGCGGCTGGACCTGGTGATGGTCATCCTCTTCAAAGGCATCCCTCTGGAAAGTACAGACGGCGAGCGCCTGGTCAAGTCTCCGCATTGCACCAACCCAGCACTTTGTGTCCAGCCACACCACATAACAGTATCAGTCAAGGAGCTGGACTTGTTTCTAGCATACTATGTCCAGGACCAAGGTAGGTCCAGGCTCACACTCCGCATATGTGTGTGTTTGTGTGTGTTTGTGTGTGTGTGTGTATCACTGTATGCGGACTAAAGCGCATGTGTGAACGATGACTGGGTGAGGTCAGGGGTCACATGTGTTACTTTTTGGCAGCCTTGCTCAGACTGGCTGAAGTCACCACTTTGTTTGCCAGACAAATAAACATCAGAAACGTGAGCACCGGCACTGTATAAACACACTTAGAATTTTTTTTTTTTCTCCCCCTTCTCGCGCTCTCTCGGCGAGGCTCGTTACCGAGCAGAGAGAAAATGTGTTTTCAATACGAAACGTTTTTTTAAAGCATGGCTTTGCTCAGCTGTAATCCAGCAGCTCCCGCTCATGCTCAGGCATTTTCACTTCCACTGAGCTTTGGCCGTCTGCACGGCCGCACAGGCCTGCACGACTGCACACACCCCGACTGTTTGTCTGCAAGTCAAACAGTGACACTTTGGCAAAAGCTGGAGCTTTGACTTTTTGAACCAAAACGAGACCACCAGTGGTTTATTTTTTTTCCACGGCTTTGGATCAGAGAAGAAAGATTCCTTGAAGTCCTTCATTTTCCTATTTTTAGTCTTTGTGATCAGCAGTTTCCCACAGCCGAGGGTGTCCCCGACAGTCTTGAATACACTCCAACCTCTGCCCATATTGCTATTATTTCTAATACAACATGCTTTTTATTGACTGCACAAAGTGTAGGAAAAAAAATAAATTTATCGTAAATCTATTTAAAAAAGCTCAAACCTTTAAATGATTTTGCAGCTTATTTCTAATAATGATTTACAATAGAGCTTAAATTTTAATTCGAGGTTGTGTTTTCTGTGTATGTGAAACATGTTACTATCTAATGGTGGAAAAAGCGCACATCTTTCTCCCATTTCCAAATTCCTGAAAAGCTTGTTTCTTTTCGATGAAAGTCCAACACGAAGGCAGATGCTTTTTTTGTGTGTGTGCAGGACGGTGTGAGAGGATAAAGTCCTTTTGTTTCCAGGTAGGAGAATAGATTTCCACATGGACACCGGCCTTGAATCGGTGTGTGTGAAAATCAGCCGAATAGAAAAGATTTATATGAGCGTGCTGGAGGCCGCGCTCACGGGGAGGAAGTGATGGCATTTAGAGGGACGCTTAAGCTGCTGCTCAGGCGCCAGCCGGTGTTCCAAATTTTGCGTGGAAAGCTGCTCCTGAAAGCTTCACCCTCTTCCAAGTGTGCCGTGCGAATGTCGGGGAAACTTTTCACCCCGGAGGTGCTGCTGTGTTTTACCCCGGCGTGGACGGCGGGCTGCGGCGGCGGTGCCTTAAAGCCCCCCCCCCCCCCCCCCCAAAGGAAGCCGCTCCTGCATCTCATTCCTTTTTGGTCCTGCGTGTCTTCCACTCGTGAACTTTCTCCCCCTGTCTGCTGACACCACAGACACCCCCCGCTGTAGCCTTCTATGTTGATATTCCCCCCCGTAGTAAGCCTGCTCCCGGAACGCAGAACAGCCCCCTGTAAAAACGCTGCTCTTTATGGAGAAACGGCGGCGGAGCTAGCTCATTGTAATCAAACCCCGAGCGCCATTTTGTGTTTGATACGTGCCAGGGAAAGCAGAAGGCACAGCACCCAGACAATAATGGTTGCCACTGGCACCGGGGTTGGCATCAGACCCTCTTTTGTGTCTTTTGTAGGATGCCACTGCGTCTCCAGTTTGCATCTGCTGCATTTTTAACTGCTCAGTGCCAACTTAAAAACACCTCTTTAGCCCTGTTTTTTGTTTTTTTTCCCTCTTTACAATATTAACTATTGTGTGATTGTGTCGCACAAAATAGCAAGAGCTGTTATTTTCGGGGAAATGTTTGCGTGAAGAAAAAGCAGCACGTTCTCAGAGAAAAGTTTGACCGTTTTTCCTTTTGCTTAGTGTTAAATGAACATTTTCCCGGATCGGAGCAGTTACTTAGCGTCAGCCTCAAAAATTTTAAATGAATGTAAGTTTGGCTAAAAATGACATTTTTTCACAGACGCCACAACAATGTTTATGTGGATACCTCCTACCCCTTTTAAAAAAACATTTCTGGATTGTTGCAAAGTAAAGGGCCTAGTTCCTCTCTTTAAGTGACCGAGCGCTGCCCATACCCAGACAATGCAGCCATATTGTGGTAGTGAGCAGCGCGGCGCCATTTTGTTTCACCCCGTGCCAGCAAGGCGAGCGATCGCCAGCGACGGTTGTTAGAGGTTCGGAGGTTGGCATCAAACCCTCTTTGTCTGCTTGCAGCGTGCCTTTGATTCGTTGGTTGGCATCCGCAATGCAGTAGGCCCATTGGAAAGTTCTCCGACAGTGGCAGATTGGACGCCGCCGCCTTTGTTCTGCCGCAACTGCACGAAACAAACAAACACACAATCGGACAGAAAGAAACTATAAATCGACTCGAGCCTGAAAGAGGACGGGCAGAATCCAGCGGTAAAACAAAAAGGCTGGCTCAGCTCCGCCGTACGGTTTGATCTAGTAATCTCAGAACAGCGGTTATTTCTCTGCCTTTTATTTCCTCATTTGTGTTTTCATTTGTGCCGTGCAAAATTTCAGCTTGTGTTTTTTTGTTGTTGTTTTTTCTCCCCCTGGTCCGGTCCTGGTGGGTTTGTGCCTGAGAAAGGTTGCGGGGCTGGCAGCGAGCTTCAGGGGTGACTGTGGGGCGGGCGCCCCCCCCCCCCGGTTGTTCGGGGGCACGGGCGCGTTCAGCCGGGCCGCAGCACCCATGTGCATGCCCAGATGAATGCCCGCTGGGAAGTAGGCTGGGGGGGGGGGGGGGCAGGGAGTGGGGGTTGTGGCATCCATTGTGCCAACTGGCAGGCCGCGCTCAGTCCGGGGCTCCGGCTTCTCGCAGACACACACTCTCCGCTCTCCAGCGTGCCGTTTTATCATTATCTGATAAAGCGAAATGAGCAATTCTTTTTTTTTTTTTTTTTTAATCAACTCCTCTCCACACCTGCATTCATATTTTGCATATCTAGCTTGACAGCTTGATGGAATAGCTGCAACAAGGCATGTAGATACTAATCATGCCGGGACACGTCGGAGTAGTGTAAGCTCCATTTGTGTTTGCCTTTTTTGTGTCGCTGCTCATCAACATTTGCTCAACCTTGCGGCGACGCGGGGAAATTTCAAGGCCCTTTTTTACGTGCATTGTTCTTAATATAAATATAAATTGTTCTTAAATAAAAGATGGAAAGAAAGCTGAGCAGTGACAGACAAAGGGTTGTTCAGTTAGTCCAGCGGGAGACCAAAGAAGCTGGGGTCAAGCACCTCTCCCATTACTCTGGGGCTGAAAGTTAACACGACCATAAAACATCATTACCTTGACTTTTTCCCCCTTCAGTAATGTAAGTCTTTTTTTCACACCGTCGTGATAGTTTGAGGAAATGGATGGATTACCTCTGAATACAAGCTGACACGTTAATGGAGACCTTGTTTTACAATCGGCAGACTTAACCTCTGCCCCCCCGGGGTCGGGACCTCTGCGGAGGGATGTAGCCGTGTGTCCTGTGAAGTTTAATTGAGCAAAGCGGATCGGTGGAAACGTGCTGTCGCAGGCCCGGGGCACGTGCAGGAGAAGGGCTCCCTGTCTGGGTGGTGGTCAGGGAAAAGGGATGGCGGTGTGGGGGGTGGGGCGGTGAATAAGCCCCCCTTGTTGACCTCCCCAGTCGGGGTCAAGCCGCGGCGGGTGAAGGATCACTGGTGGTCTCCTGGCGAGCGTTTGTCTCCGCCCGTGCTGTGGCTGGTGGCCCCCTGCTCCACTGGTCTGAGTGAGGGGGAGGGAAAAGGCAGCACCGCCTCGTCCCCCCCCCGGCCCACTCAGATCCCTCACGCTGGGCCGGTATCTTCTCCAGCCGCTGTTTGCATCTTGTTTTCTGCCCGACTGACTCCCAAGGCCTGGGGTCAGGCGGCCGGTGTGGAGCTCTGACCTCCCGGGTCACAGCGGAGGTCCGTGACTAAGCAAAACATCTAAGCCTCCCCTCCCTCGCCTTCCCCTTATCCTCCTCTGCCATCAGAAATCACCCCCGCGGCACACTGCCCAGCCAAATGACTCCCGCTCCCTCGTCTTTTTTCTTCCTCCCTCCCTGGCTTTCCTTCAAGCCTGCGACTGCGACCCCTGACAGCTGTCCCGGGCCCCGGCGCTCGGCCAGAGAGACAGCGGCTGGGCTCCGGCCAGAAGTGTGAGAATAAAACTTGTCGTAAGCAGAAAGCACTAAGGACACTACTGTTCGGCTTTTTTTTTTTTTTTTTAAGTCAAGTTTATCAGCTCCATTTCTCTGGTACGATGCTGCTGGAAAAAAAGTTTTAGGAATGATTATTTTTAAGGCTGAATAGACTTATATTTATGGAGATTCGTTTTAATGGTGAACATTCAGTAAAAAAAAAACAAAAAAACAAAAAGAAAAATCCGCATGTTGTTAAACTACAAATCCTGGGATCAGCCTTATAGGAGAAGCCCTCGTGGTGAACTGCACAACCCCGTGTTTAGCTCCCATTCTGGCTTCCTTATTAGTATGCAATAGAGCCTGCGGTGTCTAGCTACCTCTCTCTCAGAGCCATAACCTATCGAACACATTCTCTCAATCTAATCCACTTAGAACTCCCTCCCAGCTTCACCGCTTGCCTTATTGATTTCCGCTTCCCACTAAATGTCTTCCCGATCCTTTTTCTCTTAACCCGGGAGCTATTTATGTTTCGCAGTGCAGTCTTTCTTTCTTTTTGGCTTTTTTTTCCCGTTCTTTCTTTCTTGCGTAGCTTCTTTCTTTTCTCTCTTCCTCCTAACATTTTCACCTTCAACTCCGGGATCTGTGGCTGTTTGTGATCTCCACCTGACTTCCAGCGGCCTCCTCTCCCCTCCCGCTCCCTCTGAACACCAACTTGGGTGCTGTGCTGCCAGGTTGCCTGGCTCAGTGTGGGGCTTGTGTTATTAGCAGCGGGGCTTTGCTCGAGCAAATACCTCAAGGCTTAAACAGGCCGTACTACCTCCTTAGCCCTCTTTTGTGCGCCATGTGTACATAAATCTCCATGGAAACGAGGCAACTCGGAGCAGGGGCCACTGAAAAATGTGGATGCTTTCTTTTTTTGACTACATTTACAGCCCCCCGTTTTGCTCTGCTATGTGTGTTTAATTTGCCCGGCTCCCAGTAAGCGCTGTTGCATCCG